ATTACCAAACATTACGTATACGCCCTGCTGTGCGCCACAGGCGTGCTCTTCATAGCCAACATTTATGAATAAAATTCAAATCGAACTGAATGTATTAATAAGCAAAGCAGAAAATAATTGAATGGCGTATATATGTACTCACACTATTATTTCATGATTAATAGCGGTTATTGATGAGAAATCTCTAGAAATGCATCGACGCGAGTGCGAAATGTAAGCATGAGTATAAAAAGTACGTTGCTTTGATTGAAATCATTTTTCCTTCAACAACTACCACATTCAATACACTTTCAATTACTTGGCAAATAAGAATATATTTTCTTCAAGAAGCCTGCAGCTGCAACGCTGCTCGAGTTAATAGCCTGCTATAGTAAGTGAATAACTTTCGCCATAGTTGAAGTGTATAGATGGAGCTTGGCGTGCGGTACATAAAGCGAGGCACATAAAATCAAACGAAATAGTTGAGATCATTCGATATCAGCACGAACAGAAAAAGCACGGACTTGCATTAAATGCCGCTATAACGTTTAAGTGGTCAGTTTGGTGGAAAATTGCGAAATAAATTTTGAAGTACAGCCAATGGCCAACAACAGGTTGAATGGCGTAAACTTTGTCTCTGCAAACTTTTAGTGCAGTCAGCAAAACAAAGTTGTAGTAGTAGTTGCGGTGACCATAAAAGCGGCGAGATTGTGATGGAAATGTGTGATACTAAATTTGTAAAATATAAAAGTTAATGTTCTGTCCATTCATTGCACATATTAGACTGCTCGATAATAAAGCAAAGCACTTTATTGCACTGAAGCTATAATACCCCTCTTAAGTTCTTAAACAGACTTCATTACATTGTTCGGCTACAGTGAGCCAATCTAAATAATTTCTTTGGAGATTATTTGGTTGCCTTAAATAATGATCCGAGCTAAATTTCGTGTAGACCTCTCTTCAAATAATAAAGTTTTCCTTATAAGCATTCATTCCGGTTGTTCAGTTTGTACTGCAGCTATTTGCTATAGTAAATAGATCTGAACAATTTCTTCAGAAATTATATTATAAGCTTATATAATGATCCAAAACAAGTTTCATGAAGACATCTCATCAAATGGAAAGGTTTTCCATACAAGCACTTCACACCGTTTATTCAGCTTTAAGCTGTAGTGGTCCGATATCGGCGTTAGGACAATTGAGCAGCTTTTAGGTTAGTAAAGGGTAGGGGCAAAATTTGAGAATAAAACTGAAGGAGTTGATTGTATATACATATCAAACAGACAAGCGGACATGGTTAAATCGATATATATATTTTATAGGATTTCCAAAGTTTCCTTTTTGGTGTTAGAAAAAACGTGGCAAACTTAATATACCCTGTTCAGGGTATTAAAAAAAGTGTGGTAAAGAGGAGTCTATTATTTTTGCAATAAAAAGTTTTAGTGGTATGTATATTGTGCTCTATAAAAGTGATTAGATGACGCAACAAGACGTTAGAAAGCTTAGATTTCGTATTAAAAAAATTATTCAGGCAATTTTGTAATTGATTGACTTGGCATTGTGTAACCACGTATTAAGCATGGAAAATTCACCATATTTTTCAGTTTTTACTCGTAGACGGTCTGGAAGATTTGCTAACTTTAATAATATATTATGAAATGAATCTTTATAGCCAAACTGTTAATTTCAATATTTTCTATTAAAAATTGAACTCTCTAGAGGAAGTAAGTCAGGAGCAAAACGCTTTGGCAAATAGGAGTAAAAATGCATTCCATCAGAGCAATGTTACACCATTCGCTAGAAGCTTCGGAAGAGTGGTTGGGATGTTATATGCATTATCCTTATAGTCCGGATCTGTCATCAAGTAATTACTACTTCTTCTTATCTTTGGTTAATGATTATGCTGGAGAAAATAACGCTTGAAGAGAAGTTTGTGATAATTGCCCATGCCATTTTTTCTTATTGGGGATTGTTAGAATTTTCTTAAATTGGTGCAGCTAATTATGGATTTATGTCTCCAATTGCCTTTAATAATAGGTAGCCTTTTTACTAATTTTTGAATGGAGGTACCAAGAGTATGGTACAGAACAAAACTAACCAAGGCCAAGTTTAACAGAATATTTGTTTTAAACTTGTCAGAAAATACAAAAAAAAAAAAAAAAAATTATGCTGTAGTAGCCGCATACAATCTGTGTAAAGGTATTATTGATACCCCTGACATCTGTGCTAGCAATGTTGAAAAGCTATTGGGAAAAATGAATTTATGGTTTGCACAATTAGTCACTATTGTTGATTGAAGAATTGACTAAATGGGGTTGTTTTAATATTAAGGATTTATTTGCAGCATTGTCTATAGTTGATTTAAACTACAGCTCTAGCTCACTCTCAGCTTCTGAAAGTAAATTTTACTTGATGCTGTGTATTATTTTTACTAGTGTGTTGATTATTTTTATTTATTTATTTAAGTGAGAACTAATTATTAATAATTAATACACAAAGATTGATTAAATTTGCAATAAAATGGCCAGTATTTCATTCAATATAAGTTTTGAAATATTTTTACAAGCATTTAACGACAGAAAGAGCTAAATCTTTTATTATGTATGTCGAAATATTTTATTTTCGACACCATATTTTGCCTTCCATCATTTTTATTTGTGTATTAAGGTTTAAATAATCTATTGAAAGTAATTAATATATCTCCATTAATGCTTATAAAATATCACATAATCCCTTCGACTGGATCACAAATTGGTCTCTTCTACTTTTTTAAGATTTACTACTTGAAATTAATATGCATGAAGAAATAAACTGTTTTTAGGTTTTTACTGTGTTAATCTACCTACCAAAAAAATTAATATCCTGAAGAGTTTAATGCGGACCAGCAGTCTAGTTCTTTTGAAAATTCTTTCAAAAAACAAAGAAAACCACACTCTAGACCTTAGCCAAGCTTGAGATTCCCTTACATTGCTAAGTTTACATTAATTAAGGAGTTACAAGGATTTCCTCGGTTTTTACCCCAGCCTTTTCAACAATTTTTTTCTGATATAAAAGATTAAACATTTTTTGTTTTGTTACAAATATAAACGTATCGCATAGGAATCAATGCATGAGATGAGAGCACAATGAGATGGTTTAGTCGAGGCTAAATGATATCAAATATTCTATTGACCTCCATTTTCAACGAATCAATCAATCATTTACTTAGTTCAATATGGCCAGCCATAATGTATAGGTGTAAGATACCAATTCCTTGAGGTGTAGACTTAAGCTAAAATTCCTTAAAGTGAAGAAGCCCTAAATTCCGAGAAAATTTTAATTTAAATCAGCGCATAGTATCTCAAAAATATATACGTATACGCGAAATACAAAGTTTCATTGGTAATAGTCTAAGTGACTTTATATATATTTCCAGAAACCATATACCCAATTTAAAATGTGTTTCGTTTTCCGTTTGTATGCTAATATTAAAAAATTGTGAACACTTCAGAAACCAAATTTATTCATTATTTAATTTATTATAAATCTTAACTCTGTTGCATTTATTCATATTAAATAAGGAGGAAAGAGTTAAAGTGCAATCGAACATTTTACACTCTTGCCACTTGCTGCAATCAAAGCCAAGGATATACTTCGCGATGTCAAACGTCAACCAAAGGATCGGAATCTAAGTAATTTTATATACATTAAAGGTGGGTTCCAAAGAAACCAGGACTTTTTGAATATAGCACCCCCTGGTGGCGCCAATTGGAAGTGAAATTATTGGTTTTAAGTGTCGGTATGTTTGTGTTATCGGTGCGAAAATGAGCTTTGAATAAAGAGCCAACATTAAGTTTTGTTTTAAAATTTGTAAAATTTTTGCGAAACGTTTCAATTGGTGAAATAAGTTTATGGCGATGCTTGCCTATCCCGTAGCAGAGTGCACGAGTGGTTTCAACGTTTTACTTTTTCAAAGCGGTCGTGAGGACATAAATAACAATCAACATGTGGGCCAATGAAAATCCGTGATCACCGGAAATTCCACCGAAACTGTGCGTAAATTCAACAAAAATCATCCGAAATCATTATTGAAATTCATGGAAATAGAATTGCACATCTCCAAACCATCGATTTATACCATTTTGACCGAACATTTGAGCTTACGAAAGGTGTCTGCACGGGTTGTTCCGCACAAATTGACTGACAGTGAGAAATTTGTCTCATCGATCGACGCTTGTGACTGATTATTTGATCAAAAATCACATTTTGTATTAATAATCACTCCTCATATTCACCTGATGTGGCACTGGACGACTTCTTCCTTTTTGGAAAAATGCATTTGCCCATGAAAGGAAAACGTTAGGCAGTCATAGAGGCCATTCAAAAGGCTTGCACCGGCATATTGGCGGCCATACCGGCCAACGAGTTAAAACACTCGTTCCACATGCTTTTGGACCTAGCAAAAAGCTGTGTTGAAGCAGATGGAAACTATGAATAAAATAAATTGATTTTGCCGAAAAAAATAGGTTTTTTTTAAGCCCTATTTACTTTGAAACGCACCTTCTATATTTTATATACTATATGTACATATAGTATATGTTTTGATCCGATTTCGACAATTTTTGAACATAAGATGGCACAACTCAAAGGCAGAATTCAAAAGTTGTATGCCTGCCATCATATTAATTACTTCTTGATATGTGTACTGGAAAATGAAAGAATGATTTTGAGAATCAAGCAACTCTACTCTCTTAATCGTTTTAAAAGGTTAATGGTTATATGTGAAGGAGGTGTAGTGTTTGTTTAATTTCGTCAGGATAATATTATTTAACGTATTTGCTTGAAATCGGTCGAGTAGGTGCTGAGTTATGGATTTTCACCTGTGCAAGGTTTAATAATTCATAGACTTCATAGTATTTCTAAATTTTTATGAAATGTTTTAATTGATTATATTGTATACATTTTGTCCAAAATGAGTTGAATATTTTTAACAAATTTTTGGTTATTTTTTGCCAAAACTTTAAGGTAGCGAAAATACTCACCATGTCGACATGTTGTTCAATTTAATTCCACGTACAGCTTACGGCGTTATTTGTGCACTTTTTTTATGAAATTTATTTTGTACCAAAATCCACAAAATGGTAACAACAATAATAACAACAATTTTTTTTCACTAATTTTGTCACAGGCGGCTCATAAGCCTTTAAGCTGGTAACTTTTATTCGATTTGCATGAAAGCGGATTATGCGTTTGTCTTGCTCTGTTTATTGTTGGATTTTTATTTTTGTATTTTTGCTTTTTGCTTTTTGCTTATTTTTTATTTCAAACAAGGCGCAAAAGTTTTGAGCTGCAAGAAGACATCAGACACAGCTGCAGGCTGAACATTGAAAAAATATACATAAATAAATCGTGTAAATAAATTTTGAAATATTAAATATTTGTATTGATTCTATTTATTTAATATTCTATTTATTTTTGTTATTGTAATTTTTGAAAACAACAAAAAAAAAAACAAACTTTGAGTAATTTTATGTAACACTGCAGCACTTGTGCCGCAAACTTTGTTGGTATGCGTGGCATGCAGCGTGCGGCGTGTGAGGGGTGGTGGCAAGGTGAGCAGGCTTGGCGGCTAGCGTAAATATGCCGAACACGGCAAAAACAAATGCACGCTTTGTTTACATAATCTCCATGGCTGTTGTTGTTGTTGTGTAACGCTATGCAGACTATGTGGCCAAAGGACCGCTCACACGGTTAGCGTGCGCTCGCTGCAAGGGTCTTGTTGTTTTACGGTTTGTTATGCTTAGCGCGCTTTGTTATTTTTGGGGCAAAGCATTTACGGCATTACCGTTATGTACATGTATACTTTTTGTTGTTGTCACAGTGCGGTAGTGTGCATTTTTGGAAGCGGATTATTTTTCACAACTTTTTTTTCTGTTTCAATTTTTTGAAGAAAAAGTTTATTTCTCATTTATATCTTTTTTTTTTATTATAATGCGATTTCGTGCACTTATTTAGTAAAGAGGGATTTTTTTTTAATTTTTGTCATTTTTTTCTTTTGGTTTTTCAATTATTTTGTTTTTTTTTTTTTGGTGTTTAACTTTTTGCGTTTGTTTTTTTTTTCGCGTATTTTTTCAATTATTAATTGCTATTTCTTTATGTTTTGAGGCATTTTCACCCCACTTTCCTTCGCTCATGAAATATCTCAACAAACCACTAACTCAGCGCTTCGGCGCGCGGTGGGCAGCGAGGGGGCTGTCCCAAAATGGAACGTAAAAAGCACAAATGGCAAATGCCAAATGGCAAAAAATTTGGGTCAAATTTCATAAATTGTCAGAAAAAGTAACGGCGCTTATAGTTCAAGCGGAAAAGCGAAACGAAAAAGTATCAGGGAAAAAATGAAACAAACCGAAAAGGACGAAACTAACTGCACACTTTCACACGCCTACAGATAGCCCGGAGGCGTATATTTTATGGCTTGCCAATGCTATCCACAAATAAACGCACACGCAAGGCACGAAAACACATGCTACACACACACACACATACAAATGACATGCTCATCAGTTGGCGTTAGAGTGCGTAGCGTGTCCTTAAAATCACATGGCGCGCATAAATGTATATAAATATATATGCTAGGCAGACTTACAGCGCCACAATTTACATTTATAGCTAGCGGGTAGCGATGCGTTGCAAGAAAACGAAATAAATAATAAATAAAGTACACACAAAATTCGTGATTGTCTATATTCAACTTATATGAGGCATGAACACATTAACTGTTAGAGTTTAAATTTTTTTGACTGAATATATAGGAAAACATGAAAATCAAGTTTATTGCCATGATCAGCAGTTAATTTTATTTTTGTCTGCGTAAGCGACTGTCAACAGCTGCATGTGGCATTTTACACACGCACACCTGCATTGATAATATATGCAACTGTATTTGCTTGCCACACACACAAACGTGTAACACGCACAGTTGCAGCATATTTATTTTAGTAATTTTTATATAAATTACACATTTTAATAACACTTTTGCTTATGCCTCCATTATTGGCCGCAACATGCACACACCTACACACAAACACTGTTATCTCACTACATAAAATGATATATTTTTTGCTTCACCTATGCGCTGCCAGTGTAACTGTCCTTATGTCCTTTGCTTGCTCGCTGCAAAATGTAACAAAGTGAATCGTTTTAACGGCACCGAATCAACCGCGCTACGTTGCGTATGTTTGGCGTTTGAAAATACGACTGAAAGATGTGTAGGAAAATGCAAATGAAAAGCTCTAACACGAGCAGGCTCACACGCATACACTCGCACACATAGATAGACCGCCACACGAAACAGTTCACAGGCGCAGGAGACCGTCGCTTGAGTGAGAATCGGCAGTGAAGTGCTCGCAAGTAACGGCAGTAAGTCACGGAGTGACTCAAGTTCAACAACTCAACTGCCATGGCACTAACACAAGCATACTTAATTGATAGCAGAAACAAAAATTTCTACTTCTGTGTAACGCATTGGGTGAGCAAGTGTACTCTGACGTTTGCACGAGTTCAAATATATCAAAAATATCACTTCCCTTCCTTTGTTGTAGTCTACTTTTAGGCGCCAGCTTGCTGTTTGTGCGTTTTTCACCATGTCTGCGTATTTGAGTTTGGCTGCTTATTTATAGGTGTGGTGAATTGCAACTCAGCTCGCCAAATAAAAAAAATCAGCGCCGTTGGCAGTAGGCTAACATGCATTATTTCATATATTCCGTTCATCGCCAGTAACGGTCGCGGATGCCACGATGCTACGAAGAAAAGATGGAGGAAACAAGGCCCCACTATACAGGTGGTCTGAAGAAATGGCTCAACTCAGAGCTGAATGAAACTTGACGTAGGCAACAATGGGCTGAAGGAAGAGGGGATTTCGCGGTACTTCTTATAAAATTCCGGCAAAAGGAAGAACGACATAAGGCCATAGCCAACAGCAAAAGAAATGCCTTTAACCAACTTATCTTAACGGTAGATAACGACTTTTGGGGTAAAGCCTACCGAATCGTAATGTAGAAAATAGGTAGATCAAGAACCCCACCTATATCTCCCGCGATCTTACGTAAGATAGTCCATAGTTTATTTCCAATATGCGAACATATACAAGTCCCAATTCTTCAAATTAACCTGGACGAAATCGCTGAAGTGTCCCACGAAGAAATACAACATGCGGTGAAAAGAATCAAGATAGACAAAGCACCCGGCCTGAACGAAATACCCAATTTCGTAACTAAACGTATCATCCAAAGAAAGACAAAATTGTTCCAAAAAAAACTTTTCCAAATGTTGGAAGAGTCAACTCCTCGTTCTTCTCCCCAAAGGTGATAAACCTCCAGAGGAATCCTCGCCATATCGGCCCTTATGTATGCTTGATACAGCTGGAAAAGTTTTCAAAACAATTAATTGTAAGCGGCTCCAGAAATATACGGAAGGAGATTCTGGATTGAATCCAATGCAATTCGGTTTCCGAAAAGGACGAAGCACAGTGGATGCGATAAATGCGGTTACCAAAATAGCGGGAAAACACTGGAAGGGAGTAGATGGCGTGGTGGTGACAAACAATACTGTGTTGTCATTACGCTGGATATTAAAAAAACCTTCAACTCAACGTACTGGGTTCTAATTATTAGAGCTTTGACAGAGTTTAAGGCCCCTGACTGCCTTTTCCGAATTGTGGCAAGCTACAAACAGAGTATTAGAATACGAGACATAATGTGGACCTGAAACGTATAAAATTACATGCGAAGTTCCGCAAGGGTCAGTTGTCGGCCCTGTACTCTGGAACGTGATGTACAGTAGTGCTCTGTGAGTCGTGATGCCAGAGGCGGAAAAATAGTAGGATATGCGGACAACATTGTGGTCGTAGTTGTAGCGAAAACCCTAGATGAGGTGAGGAACAAGTGTACTGAAAGCATTAACAACATTAAAAAATGGCTCGAGACAGCTGGCTTTCAACTAGCTGCACACAAAACTGAGGTGGTTTTAATGAGCAGTCGAAAAATAGTGGAAACAATTGAGATATGTATTGATGGACATAACCATGAATTTCGCGTGTTGATAAATTATTGCTTTTTGGAGGAAAATAAACAGTTGAAGCAAAACCGTGGCATAATGACGAATTTCCGGAAACTGCCCAAAGAAAAGCAACTATGCTTTGCTGTGCTAAGTTTAGACGTGGTGAAATGAGCACCGAAGACCGTGAACGCAGTGGACGCCCTAAAGAAGTTATTACCGACGAAAACATCAAAAAAGTCCACAAAAACCTTTTGGTTGAACGGAAAGTGAAATTGTTGGATATAGCGGGCACCCTAAATCTAGAGATATCAACTGAACTTGCACATGCTATCCATTCACGAATATTAGGGCACAAGAAAGCTATATGCTAAGTAGGTACTGCATGTGCTGCCTTTTATCCAAAATCAAGAACGGGTAGATGATTCGGAATAGTGTTTGGAGATGTTCTAGCGTAACAATACTTGGCAAATGTATTCCATGGCAAAAAAATAAAGAAAAGATTCGCTAATGTGCGTAATCGGACCACTGCTACACCCCCAAAACGTATTGGATTCGGTAGAGGGCATTCCTAGCTAACGAACGAGCGGCTGGTCAGTTGTCTTCGAGCACCTGGAGAATTCGGACGAACATTTTCGCCCGACGTGCCTCTGTAAGTGGTGCAAACCGAAATTGCAGCGTTCGTTAGAGCAGAGGTGAATCTCGGTAAACCTGCAACAGAGACGTTTGATATGAGCAAGCTTATCTGTATGTTGCTTTAGCAAGAAGTTCTGTGTTTCAGTGGCACCAAGCCTTTTTGGAGAGCAGAGAAGAGGTCGCTGATGAAGATCGGAAGAAGGAGCAAACCCGAAGTGAAAACGATACTCATTGTCTTTTTTGATATCAAAGATATCGTCCACCATGAATTTGTTCTTGCTCGACAAACCGTCAACGCAAAGTTTTATATGGAAGTCCTCTAGAGACTCAAACGAAGGTTCAACCAATTCCGACAACACATTGCAGCCCATTGGAAGTTGCACCACGATAACGCCCCGGCTCACACCGCCTTTCTTGTGAACAGCTACCTAACTAAGGACGGCATCCTAACGCTCCCGCAGCCGTCGTACAGCTTAGATGTGAAGTTCTGAACCTCAGTATCTGCGGTTGATTTTTAATCGAAAAAATCGGCGAATGTATGAAATATGCAATTCAAATTCAGAGAAAACCTCTTCCTGATAATCATATGTGTGTGGATCAAAAATGGGTTGAATCGGGTCCATACTTCCCTGAGAGCCTATATACCTAATATGAAGACTTTCGAACTTCCCGTTGACTTTATACCGCTTATATCGCCCAATATAGGGACTATCTCAATAAAAATGAGGGAATAGTGTATCTTTATGCATAAAATACATAAAATTGTGCGAAAATTTGACATATCTCTCCTAAAAGTATAAGCAAAATCATGATTTTCGAATATACGGCTGCTTTTACTCCATATGATTGTATGCAAGGTAACTTAATTAAACCCAGTGAACATTTTTTAGTATGTGGTATTGGCAAAAAAAAAATTAAGTCAGATCGATATTACCACAACTCCCATATACTGCATATGTCAGTCATTGTATGAGTTATTAGAGTATATCTATATATAAAACTGCTTAGATTCCGATCCTCTGGTTGACATTTTATACCTTACGATATTTCGCTGTCTTTGATTCCTGCAAACTGGAAGAGTAACTCGTTCGGATTCAGCATTGTTGGTGAAATCATGACACAGTGGAAGCGGGGCGGGCGCGACAATAAAAAATGTCGGTCCTAAAAATGTAGAAGAGAACAAAAAGTGTAGTGGGGTAATTAATGGAGAGAACAATGGAGACTCTGTTCGTGAAAACAAGGGGGACTTTGGTGGTTAGTGCGGTAATATTCGAGGCGAAAAATCTTGAGGTTTCCACAATAATGGAAAGTTTTATCATGAAGGCCATTGTAAATATTCCTGAAATTTTGCAAAAGTAAACAAATTTTTTACGGATTATTTATTTCTCAAGCTTAATTTTATATGACCCGGGCCGATTTCTTAATGAATAACACTACATTTCTTTGATTTTCCTCAGATTCCTTCGAGGGTTCCATCAAGGCACATCAAATATGTAGCATGATCAGTATTGTAATTATTATTTTTTACTAGGTTTCCGAAATGCCAAAATTGTGTTTTTTCTAACACATTGGAGAACAAAAGGTAGTTTTTTTTTTTACATTGAGCCTCTTCTTCTTTACTGGCGTAAATGCCGCTTACTCGGTTATAGCCGAGTTAACAAAAGCACGACAGTCGTTTTTTCTTTTCGCAATGTGGAGACAATTTGAGATTTCAAGCGAAGCCATGTCCATCTCTACCTGATCTCTCTAACGGAGTCTTTCTCTTCGTCTGCTTCCCCCGGCAGGTATTGTGTTTTCATAACTGGAGTGTTTTCATCCTTACGTCTACATTACCTAGCGTGGGAAGCTTTACATTGAGTTTACTCTAACTGAACAAGCTGAAAAGCACATAAAATGAGCCTCAGTAGAACTACTAAGTGAAAATTGGGTTTATGCCTTCCTTTCTATTCGGAGAAAACATTTCTTTCAAAGAAGTATCTTGTGGAAAAATATTTGGTTCAATTGAGCTTGGTGCTGACTTGATATGAGTGGATTTCTCCTCACTTGTTCCCCATTCCATTTTTCCTTTTCGCTTAAAATTCTTGCGTGTTTCTGTATAGGATGGTTTATCGAGCTTCCTGTCAAGTTTTAGGCCACTTTGAATTTGTTTTGGAATCCTTTATCATAAGAGAACCAAGCTGTTTTGACTCACGTGAAGACACGTTGCTATCTCCTTTTAATTTGGTTAGCCGATCTCTACTTTTTCAAAAGAAATGAGGCCAGTACATTCTAAAAGCTTTTTAGAAATTTCTGTTTGAAATTTGAAAAGCGGAAATTGCTTTTAATCGGGTTTGTCCACTTTATGTGTTTTTTATGATGGATGGATGAAGAAGCAACAATAGCGCGTCTTTCAATATCAATATAAGTTTTTTCTTTTTAATTGCACCATTTATATAATTTTAATTAACTACGTCATAAACTAAACTAAATTTTCCAGCTCAGACCTTATAACTTTGCTGATTTATGTCGCTTATGTGACGATAGCCATGTAACCGAAAATTA